AGAAAAGAAAGGAGAAAGAGGACGCGGAAGTCGACAAACCCCGAAAAATGCTCATAAGTTTGACATTCCACTTCTTCTCCGCGCTCCTTTTTGGACAAAAAGCCTATAGTTCTATACCGATTCTGCATGAACAAAATTCGGGATTTTGATAGAATATGGCATTTATATGCGTGCATTTCTTGTCCTTCGTTGTCTTCGCCATGCATCCCCAAAACTCTATGCTTTTTTTGTTTTCGCTCAAAATTAACACAAGCGGTTGCTTCAGACACATTTCAAAATAACTCCTGTATGATGAGAGGTGCACCAGCGACTATCATCTTGGGATAAAGCTCTTTTTAAGTGTTTTATTCCCAATGGGATATCAAGACTCAGACTGTGGGGGAATACAATTCAACTATCTCAACGATTTATTTGGGTTTTTTGTCTAGTAACCTTATTATTAATTAGTTTGCGCTGAATGCAAGAAAATCAAGCATCTGGGGAAGCAAGAGACAAATAGGAGCAATGAGCTAATCCACGAATTTTTTCATTGTCCATTGTTAACCGATGTTCTCTCAAGCCGTCGGCGTAAAACCTTACACTAATCAATAACCATTTCTCGCAGGAAGCTGAGATAAACGGAGTGGTTCCATTGTTGATGGCTTGCATCCATGGTTCAGATGCTCTCGTACGTCTTCTACTCTCAGCCGGAGCTGATTGCTCAGCTATGGATAGGCGGAACAACTCCGTATATCATGTAGCAGCTCTTCATGGCAAAGATGACACTCTCAAATTGTTGATTCGCTATGGTTGATTTTTGCAAACGACTCAAACTTATTCTAAAAAGAGTTTTCTTTGCGTTTTAGGAGGTGAAAACACGAAAAAACTGCTGTGGGCAACGAACAAGGAGGGTAAGACCCCACTTCATCTGGCGGTGGACCGAAATCATCCAAGCACAGTTAGCATCATCCTTCCACTGAAACCCTCTAATAATCCAGACATAGACGAGTTAGTTAGGAGTACATGTCGCTCAACATCAGCGAAAAAAAGCTTTTTTAGGAGTCATAAATGGCTTCTGCACAATGCCGCCGGCAAGGGTTACCTCGAACTGGTCAAAACGCTAATTGAGGTAGCAATGGTCACTTTTTATGGAATGAGTAATGTCGAGAACCTCAAATTTCAGAATGGGTATGATGTTCGTCTGCAAAATGAGGAGATGCAGCTCCCATTGCATGCAGCAGCCAAGGCGAATAAAGCCGACGTTGTGCGATATCTGCTCAAGCTAGCGGTAGGCGGGCTTAAATGCTTATAACACAAGACAATCATATACAATATTACTTGTACTTTTTTTGCATATAGAATAACCTTGAGCGAGGAGAATGTCCTAATGAAGGGCGGCATTAACACAAAAAAAATTTTTTTCTTTAATGTACATCCCATTTTAGCGTATAGATCTATTTCCATGATGGTAAATAAGGAACGTCTGAATTACGGTACCAGGTAGAGCTACTCATTATTTCACATTTTTAATTTCTGGATGTGTATGAGGGATAAGGGACCTATCTAATTTCTTCGACTATCTTTCAAGAACTTTATAAGACTTTAAAAGCAGATATTTTAGCGCTAGAATTCAAAAAGGAAAGTAAATCAAATGAAACTGCTTCAAAATTCATTTATTCCTGCTGCATTTTTCATGTTTTGTCATCTCTAAAGCAAGTAAAACATCTACACTTTCAGCCTGACACTGTCGACGAACAAGATGAATACGGTTTCACACCGTTTCTGCGAGCCGTTTCAATGAATGCACTCGACGCAGTTAAGGTTTGGCCTTCTGTTGGTTGGGTGTTAATTGCAATTTTGAGTAGTTGAGCAATAGCATTCTTAGGTCCTAGTTGAACACCACACCGACATACTCTTTGCCGATTCTGATGGGCGTACTGCTGTATTCATAGGAGCAAAGTATAATGCTGTTAATGTGTTGGTGGTGAGTGTGGAAAAGCTTTGTCATACAACTGTTTTTTTCTCAACGATAGTCAGTGTACGTTTTTGATGGAAGAAACTCAGAGAGTAGTTTCATGCTCAGTTTTTGAGCAGCAATAACGAAAACACTGTTTTTAATCTTCTTAAATTCTTCTTTTGTGTTAATTATGGCCATTCAATATTTCAGTACCTTCTAGAAGAGTATCAAAAACGCAAAATTGATGAAGGCGACTCTTATCCAGACGTGGTGAATCAACCCGACCATACACAGTACACACCGATGCATCTAGTTTGCCACAATGGCTATATGGAAGTAGTTACTGTAAGCATTAAAATAAATTTGGCACTAGGAAATACTCAACGTTTAATGTTCAGCTTTTGTACGAAAATGGTGCTCGTATTGATGTCATGAACGAAGATGAGGCCATACCCCTACA